TAGATAATGGATGGATGGTAGGAACATGAGCTTCTGAAACACTAAAAACAGGACATTTAAGCCAAACTTGTAACATGACTTAAGGAATGGTGGGTCTTCCACTTAAATAACACCGTCACAGCTAAAGGATGAATTTTTTTTCCTCCAACATCCTGATGCGGTTCACAGATGTAATTTAGGGCGAAATGTCTGAACCATCATCGGATTAATTGTGATGAAACTTGCGAAAGACAATTGTTTCCCTCTGGATGAATATTAACTTTTGTGATCTTCTTTGCTCTCGTTTTAATATGTCCAATTATTTGGTAACGTTACGGTGGGTCTGGGACCCTCAGGAGCAGACAGAGGCGGGTTCAGGTGAACAAGAATTTTATCACAAGCAAACAAAAATCTATGATAAAGACAGGATGGGATAACAAGCAGGAACAACTAATTAAACTAAACTTAACAACACAACCTCAAGGACTAAATATTATCTAAACAACTAAAATTCCAGATAAATATCAGTGGGAAAATTAGAACCACAAGCAAGATAACCAGGCAAGGGGGTAAGATGGAACTGAGGTTAACCAAACTTCATTTAAAAAAGGGGCAAAACTACAAAAAGCTACAAACACTAACAAATAGAATAGGAAACCATGGAAATCTAATATGAATAAACTAAAGTTAGACTAATGAAACCCAGCTCAGATGCTCCCCACCGACTGGTTGTCCAACCTGCCATCTCCATCTTCTGGTTCCTCCTGGAGGAGTCTCTCACCATATCCACTCTCTGGCTGCTCCTGCCCAGATTCCCTTCACCATTCCTTGGATGCTCACGTCGCCTCGCCACCCACCTTCTCCTCCCCCCCACTTCTCCAGCCTGTCTGTAAGCCAGTCTCTTGCTAGTTGAACCTTTTAGCCTTCAGCATAGTACTAAGTGTAGTTTCTTTAAGAGCAGATGTTCAGTGTGTGTTGTATATTTTTGTAGTTAGTCCTCCAGCCCACTAGAGATCTCTTGATCCATATTCCCAGGAAACCCTACTCTTGCATTTCCTTTATCATAATATTATTGTAAAAAAAAATTGTATTATTGTCTGCCGTCTCTTTGTCCACAATTAAATCTCTGAACCCGATCCATAACAGGGATACTCACAGGACAAGGGGAACTAAACTAAAGGGGTGGGTAGGCTCGGGGAATCTAGGCTGGCGAGATGAACCAGAGCTGGCGAAGGCTGGGGAAATGCCGGAGCAGGGTCGGTGGCAGGCACAGATAGGGTGGTGAGTGTGTTGCCAATGCAGGGTGGTCAGGCAGCAGCGGCTTGGGGAAGGCAGGTAGGTTACAGGTCAGGGGCTGGCAGGGAAACAGGGTTGCATAGTCTATGATCTACAGAGAGTGGAGGAATGAACCAGACTTTTATGGAACAAGGGTTATTGAGAACAGGTGAGTCAATCCCTGCAGCTGTCTCCATTGGTTATGCAATTAACAGGCAGACAGGAGTGTGGCTGTTAGGAGATTCATAGAGTGACAGGAGAGGGAGAGAGAGAGGGAGCCAGGCAGGAACTTAGGCCAAGGCCGGGATCGGGGTCCTGACAGGTGATTTCCATCAGCCTTAGTTGCACTTTCTGCTTTGCTCTAATTACCAGTCATTAAAAATCACAATTGTCAGAGCTGACTCTGAGTCGCAAGATTTAACTGATTATAGGTCGTGAGAGCAAAATCAGTGCTTCCCAGTCAAGATATCAACGTTTAAAGGTCGAGAAATAAACAAACTTAGGGACAGACTCATCCAAATATGACACTGCTTGTGGTTCTTTGGTCCTTGCATGTTCCTCTTATATATATATATCATTATATCTGTATATTATTATTTTGTTTCTCTATATATTTTTTTGGTCTGTTGTTACAGTTAAGGTCTAAGTCAGGGGTGCCCAATCTTGGTCCTCAAGAGCCCCTATCCAGCATGTTCTAGATGTTTCCCTCTTCCAACACACCTGATTCAAATGATCAGCTCATCATCAAGTTCTTCAGAAGCCTGATAACCATCCTGATCATATGAATCAGGTGTGTTGGAAGAGGGAAACATCTAAAACATGCAGGATTGTGGCCCTCGAGGACCAGGTTTGGACACCCCTGACATAGAGCATGGCTCTGTGTGGTTGGACCATAGACTGTATAAGAAAAATGGACGTGGCTGCAGTGACATCATCCGCTGGTTTCTTGTGTGTACACATTTTTGAAGTTCAAAATTGTTAAATAATGTAGTTTTTAATGTGCAGTAAAGGTTTTTCTGAAGTTCTTGATTTAAATGTGTTGAAGTTTTTACATCTGTTATAAATTTAATAATAGCAACATGTACCATATTGTAAATACACTGCTCAAAAACATAAAGGGAACACTAAAATAACACATCCTAGATCTCAATGAATGAAATATTCCAGTTGAAAATCTTTATTCATTACATAGTGGAATGCGTTGAGAACAAAATAAGATAAAAATGGTCAATGTAAATCAAAATAATTATCCCATGGAGGTCTAAATTTGGAATCATACTCAAAATAAAAGTAGAAAATCACATCACAGGCTGATCCAACTTCAGTGGAAATTCCTCAAGACAAGTCAAAATGAGGCTCAGTAGTGTGTGTGGCCTCCACGTGCCTGTATGACCTCCCTACAACGTCGGGGCATGCTCCTGATGAGGCGGCAGATGTTCTCCTGAGGGATCTCCTCCCAGACCTGGATTAAAGCATCAACTCCTGGACAGTCTGTGGTGCAACGTGGCGTTGGTGGATGGAACAAGACATGATGTCCCAGATGTGCTCAGTTGGATTCAGGTCTGGGGAACGAGCAGGCCAGTCCACAGCATCAATGCCTTCATCATGCAGGAACTGCTGACACACTTGAGCCACATGAGGCCGAGCATTGTCATGTATCAGAAGGAACCCAGGGCCCACTGCACCAGCATCTGGTCTCACAGTGGGTATGAGGATCTCATCCCGGTACCTAATGGCAGTCAGGGTACCTCTGNAATGGCTCAGTCCCTGCTGACACAGCTAATGTGCTCAGAATAAATAACGGCTGAAGGGACCTGCAAACCCACATAGGTGTTTTCTCTCATTCTAGTTGATTAGACGTCCGGTCAGATTCAATATTGACTGAACTGTGGTGGGAAATACTTGACAGAAGGTCTGTTTGTCCGTCTAATGCAGGGGTGGGCAATCCTGGTCCTCGAGGGCCACAATCCTGCATGTTTTAGATGTTTCCCTCTTCCAACACACCTGATTCAAATGATCAGCTCATCATCAAGCTCTGCAGAAGCCTGATAACCATCCTGATCATCTGAATCAGGTGTGTTTGAAGAGGGAAACATCTAAAACATGCAGGACTATGGCCCTCGAGGACCAGGATTGGACACCCCTGTCATAGAGCATGGCTCTGTGTGGTTGGACCAGAGACTATATAAGAAAAATGGACGTGGCTGCGGTGACATCATCCGCTGGTTTCTTGACTGAGAAAGTGAAGCTAGGAGTTTGCTTGCTCTGATTTTTTGGAGCCGGAAGAGATCATATCTAGAAAAGAGGACGGAGTACAGTGAGGGGCGAGACTGACTAAGAGTCGAGGACAGTCTGCTTGCACCTGCTGCAAGTAACATTAGCCTCCATAAGTCGAGTTAAACTTTACAGGTAAGTGTTAAAACAATCTTAGGTAACTTGTTTCTTGTCCACATCTGGTCAATATTTCATATAAAAGGAGTAATCTATGTTATTGTAGCTTAAGGGACGATGTGTAAGTTAACATCAGACTGTGTGTAACCACATGTTCTGATATCACATTTTAGATTTGTTCTGTAAATCTTAGGTTATGTTTCCTGACTTCTGTGTTAAGTGTGTGTTAACACTGGCGCAAAATTGGGTTTAACAGTGTCCTAAATTAATTACCTGCTAGCTGTAGCTAATTTTCACTGTTGATCAGTTCTAAATTTATACTGCAAGCCATACATTAAGTAATATTTTAGATTGTGGTTTCTCATGTTTACCATTTCAACTGTAATTTAGGCTTTTTAGTAAAAAATAATGTTGCATTACAGATTCAGCTCCCTCTCTTTATATTGCACACTTGTCTTGTGACTGTTAAGCATTTACACTTTACTGTCAGCTGTGCACTATTTTTTTTAAATTCACCCATTTACCATCAACCATGAAGAAATTTATAACTTGCTGAACAGGCTGTTGGAGTCCTTTTAGAGTCTGCCGGTATAATCAGCTGAAGAACAAGTCCTAATTGTGGTGANCTAATTGCCTCTCATTTCCACCTGTTGTCTGCTCCATTTGCACAACAGCAGGTGAAACTGATTCACAATCAGTGTTGCTTCCTAACTGGACAGGTTGATTTCACAGAAGTGTGACTGACTTGGGGTTACATTGTGTTGTTTAGGTGTTCCCTTTATTTTTTTAGCAGTATATAAAACTAGCTGCAAATTAGTCAGAAAATAGCAAACAGATAAAACAAAAACAAAAAAACAAAAAAACTTAGACATCTTATAATGCAATTTTCGGCGGCTCCGATGCAGCACAGAACCTGAAGAAACGACATTAAGCGAAGGGTACAGAAGAGTCGGCAAAGCTTCTCCAGTCTACTTACCTTGAGTGGAAGCCGAGTGCACCAGAAGCTTCAGAGCCCCACACACACACACACCCGGTAAACACACCACCACGCTGTAAAGAAACAGAACACAGAACAGAACTATAATGGCAGCCGAACTTTCACCAGTCGACAGGAGCACCAAACCAAACTGTCTGATTTAATGTGAGAAAACAAAAAGGTTATATGTCTTTTTATACAGCGTATATAAACTTCTGGTTTCAACTGTACATGTGTCAAAGAAACCTGTCCAAAGAATTACACTTTGCATCTTCAACTTCACCATCTTGGCCACATTCACGGTGTAATTTACTGGATGCTAACTCTCTTCTCTGGTCACTAAACACAGAAATAATCTACACTGACTTCCAGGGTGTACTGTACATATTATATTTACTCTAAAATTGCATACTAAGCACATTAAAACCATCAATCACAAAGAAATGTAAAACTTACCGAACAGGCTGTTGGAGTCCTTTTAGGGTCTGCCGGTATAATCAGCTGAAGAACAAGTCCTAATTGTGGTGAACTGGAAACTGTTTAAAATAAACGATTGAACATTAAAACTGTCTGTGGAAAATGTACCATTACTCCGCTGTTAATTAAGGATTATGTCAGTTATTATACCACCAGGGAACCAGGATAAGACCTGAGTTTAAGAATGCCATGGCTGCTGCATCCAAATGACCTGTCAATCAAGCAGCTAGCCTTACATTTAATTATTTACATAATTGTTATTAGATGGACCGTCAGATCTCTGGTTATGGCCAGGAAAATTAACAAAACAATCCCAGTAGCCTGTGGAAAAAGATGCCTTTCCTTGACCTGTCATAATGGGACATTGAATTGGTGGGTATGTAAGCCAGGGCTTTTTGGAGCCAGCCCCTGATGGCACTCATGGTATTGCAGATTTTGACACTTTTAGGTTGGCTTCACTTTTCAGCTTCGTCCATCTTTCTTATATAGTCTATGGCTTGTACTCACTAGTACACTCTTCGTGTTGAGACTTTGAAAGTGTTTCGTCGCTTCAACGAAGAGAATGCTAAGAATCCTGGTTTCTTGCCCTAGCTGCACTTCTGGAATGGATGTGAGCAGGAAGACGTGTGCGTTCCCGACCTCATCCTCCACAGTCACACTGACCTCAAGAATGTTCAGTGAGTATTTTGGCGATTAGAAACACATATGTTCATCATTATGAGGTATTAAGAAACTCAGATCATAATGTTCTTTCTCCTCAAGGCAGTTCTGCAGCACGAGGGAAGGGGCTACATGTTCAGTCTGCAGCCATAAGGAGTCGCCTGGCGACCCAGTGTTCATAGTGGAGTCCGGACGAAGAAGGGTGGTGGTGTTTGCTCGACTGGAGAACCAGGGAGAGAATGCATACAGAGCTGCCATCCACATCTCCACTTCCTCCAACCTGGTCTTCTCCAGCCTCTTAATCAAGGTACCTAACCTTGCTATTGCTGTCAGTTATCAAGTCAAAATCTATGGTGGCTTTATGTCTTGACCCCCTCCCCTCCACCCAGGATCAATCAGATATCCAGATTGAGTGTTACTCCGAGGGGAGACTGGCCAGTCAGAGGAGCTGCAACATTACCGCTCCATTCATGAAGTCATTGGCACAGGTAGGTGTCATGGGAATGGAGCATTTTCTAATATGAAATATGTCAATGAGTTTGAGCATTATATGAATTTTTATAATGTTAATTTTAACAAAATATCACAAAATCAATTTTTAAAAAATGAATAAAATTGACAGCAGGACCATGAATGAAAACAAAGAGTAACAACTGTTAAAGAACATAATAATGCAGTTTCCTATAAACATGACCGTTGTCCCCACTCTTTCCTGTAAGGCCCCCAAGAGCCCTCTTCAGAGATACTGTCTTGATAAACATTTTAATTTTTGCAAGTTTCCTTTTTTTTCACCTTAATATACGTAGAGTTAGGGGAGTACATGAAGCACACCTTCAGTCAGTTCACAGAGACTGTGGATACAAAAAAAAAAGAAGCCATTTTTTAAAACACTTTGAAACACCTACTCTCCTCCTGTCCAGGTAACTTTCTGTCTGGAATTTGAGTTCAGCCATTCCATCTTCCTGGATCATGTACAAGTTGTCATGGTAACTACCAGGTAAGATAAGATTGTAATTCAATATTATGCATTTCCTGTTGTTACAAAATGCTGAGTCAGTACTTTATCTGTGCAAATGTACAAAAATGGGATATCAGCTAGGAACAGAAAGGCAGATTGATTGCATTGTTCAAAATATGTGATAGTTTAATTCATCTTAGTTTTGCACAGTTGTGGTTGCTTGGCAAGGAGGTAGGGAAATTATATTTGGAAGATCGGAAAGCATCTGAAAAACATTCATGTATATTATATTGGATTGATTATTATTAAAATTGGTACAGCCATTAATGTTACCCTCACAATGAATTGTGATAAGTAAGATTATTGACAGGCAAAACAATTTTAGTCTCTTATACTTGAATTGGACAAAACAAAAACCTGTTCTGTTAGTTACTAAATGTCACCTACTTGTCCCTTCCTCTGAGTTTTCATCTGATTTCTCTGTTTTTAATCTGAATTCCCAGAGATCTCGGGTAAGTTAGTGCTCAGTGCAGATAAAGCATGTTTTATTTAATATCCATGTAAATGCCAGGGGCCTCATTTATCATCAGTGTGTACGCACAGATGTGTGCGTAGTGAGTTTGTACGAACATTCCTACGCAAAGTATGGAATTTATCAAATTGTGCTTACAACTTTATCAACTTACTTACTTGTACTTAGGAATGTGCGTAAATATAGGCACACCTCTGACCATGCGTACGCACATAATCTAGCGGTATAACAGTGAAACTACAAATAGAAAGCATTAAGAGTGTCACAGCAGGTGCTCAACAATCTCAAACGCCACATATGTCCCCTGTTTTCTTTAATTAAAAATGCTTAATTAGTAATTTCATCTAGTTAGAAACAGATGTTTTGTATGTGGTGTGAAATGCTATAAAAGACAGCTGTGACAGGTATTTGAAGTGTAGATAAGTGCCATCTTGCATTGTTAGAAGATTTGGTGAACCATGCGCTCCGCAGGGAACATGTCTTCAAAGTGTGCGCTGATCTGTTTGCTGAGAGCACAGAGTGGCTTCTCAGTAGACACCGCTTCCCAAAAGAAATATTACTGGATTAATGCCGTGATTTAGGCCCTATACTGGAACGAGAGACAAGAAGAACGGAAGCCATCCTGGTACACATCCAGCTATATCCTGTCTACCACCAGGTTTTTTGGCCACCAACACGTTCCAGCGTGAGGTTGGAGACGTGGCATTTCCCAGCCATCACTAAGTAGCATCATGCTGGCAGTGTTGGATGCCCTAACTCCCCTGGCCCCAGCCTACATACAGTTCAATTACAGCCATCACCAACAAGCTGAGGTCAAACAGGGATTTCACACCATCGCTGGATTTCCTAACATAATTGGAGCCATAGACTGCACCCACATTGCAATCAAAGCATCAAGTCTTGATGGGATAAAGTTACAGTAGGTTGAGCTTCAGAGCTTCAGCAAGTGTTAAGTGTAAACTGGCAGATTAAATTGTTAAAAGTAGGCTCAATGAATTCATCACTCCAGTTAGGATGTGCCCACACAATACAATTATGTTAAACACAGAAATATAATCTCTAACTCAAAACTCATTACATTTTAGTGTTTCTGAGTTAATGCTAAAAATGTCGTATAATACATTGTCTTTTCAAGTGTGACATTTGTGTGTTAATCAGTGAGGGAGACGAGGGATACCCAGATGATAACATCAATGATATCTTCCTCCCTTTGAAATATGAGGCTGACCTCCTCTTCACAAGGTGAGTAACACAGAAAGTTTTTAAACACTGTGTTAATGATCATGCTCTGATATGTTTGCTTTAGATAGCAGAGGAGCACATCTGAAGATGATGATTACTTGGTCACAACGAAGGTTTATTAGCAGGGTTAAATGTTCTTCTGGCAAATCAAATAGGTTTGTTAAATGCCCAGTTTTTTTAGTTTTTTTTTTTAACTATAGTTGCACACAGTTTTATATTTGAAGAAATACTTTTTTTTTCTTTTTTTCTGCATTTACTAAACCAATCAAAGGTTAAAAATATCATGTTTTGTGCTTTATAATCCAAAGAGGTAATTGTTGGGTTCTATATATGGGAGCGAGGAAAAGGTTCTAGTTTTCTGCAATTCAGTGATGAACACCCTAAAAGTTTATGAAGGATGGAAGTATGTTTCATTCCATACGTTAAATTCTTCTTGTTCTCCTGACAGAGACCCTAACCTCCATCGGTTTGAAATCAAAGCAGACTCCTTGTGGTCATCCTGGGAGCAACCAGACAGCAGCTCTCTTACCTTCAACCTGACTTATAATGCAAGTTAAAGAAACAGATTATTTTACCCACCAAATCCAGAACATTTACAAAAAATACAGTATTGCTGGCAAATGAGTCGTACACGTAGTATACCAATACGCATAGAGTGCAGCACAGTTATCAGCACGGCAAACTCTTACATACAGACAGTAGTCTGAATATATATGAGCCTAGAAGTATTACATGTAATCCGTGGATATGGGGGCATTATTGTAGCAAAACTATTTGTCCATGCGTATGGAGAGTTGTCTGTCTGTATCTCAATCCATTTGTTCAAAGTGAGATTTGTCAATGTGTAAAATGTGTCAATGCGAACCGAAATCTGCAAAAGTCGTCTTACAACTTCTTACAACTGTCTGTCTGTCATCAGGTTTTCAAATGTGTAAAAAATCTGCTGATCTGCATTAAAATTCAGACATGGTATAAGAGTTGTCAGTACATACAAAGAGTCGTCAGTGCGTACAGAGGTTTTTGTAGTTGAAAGGTTTATGTATCCGAGTCCCCACTGGCTGTCTTTTTACACATAACTTTTGCTACACGTCTACCGTGAGAGATCTGAAACTGAAGAGTATCTGAAAATCAGGGTTTCTGTGTCCTGAGCTCACAGGATCATCCGTCATGGCTACTACAGCTCAGCTGCCCTGTACCTCACGGACTGAGATACAGACAGACAACTCTCCATACGCATGGACAATAATGTCCCCATACGTGGACATCAAAATAAACGTAATTTGTAGAAGTGTTATCATAATAGCTGTATTATGTGATTTAATGTATCATTGCAGGGAAAAAAGGTGGTGTTTGTTTAATACAGTACCGATAAAAAGTATTCAACCCCCTTTTAAATTGCTCTCTTTCATTGGTTTTCAACTTTAACTGAAGATCAATGTAATTTGGATTTTTTTTGTCAAAGTTTGTCGATCATGTTAAAGTGAAAACAAACGTCTTAGAAGAAAAGGCAATTGAACAAAAATTAAAAAAAATGTAAAATAAGGGATTGCACAAGTGTTTCAATTCATTTACTGACCAGATGACCTTAATGTCACTGATTGTGTGACTTCTAACACTAATTGGTTGCAACAGTGTTATATTAAGTGAGTCACTTTAATGTGAACAGTTGTCATTTTTTACATGTAGCATTTAACATTTTTAATTAATGTAGTCTACTTTAAAGAAATCTGTTTTCATTTTTGATATGATGATGACGATGATGGTGACAGTCTTATGTTGCAATTTTTTTTTTGGTCAAAAAAGCCAAAATATATTGACAATGATTCAACATTGAAAAGCGATAAAAAGGAAAAGCTTCCGACAGGGGTGAATACTTTTCACAGGCACTGTATGTTATTCTCTTGTGGGTTATTTCAAAACCTACTGACCATAATTCTGGTGAATGTTAGAAACAGTAATTAAATAAATTATAACAATATGATTGCACCGATGTGTTACACAGCAATGTTGGTTTACTAATACCGAGCCATTACCTTACTTTTTACTTTTTGTGCAGATTCAGAACCTGGGCGTCTTCTCAGTGCGGGATGTTCTGTTCAAGGCTGAAATCTGGGCTGTGACTGGGAAGGGGAACCAGCTGGTGAACATTACAGACTACAGCATCGAGCAGGTAACAGTAGAGACCTTAAAATTAGAATTAAAATAATTTAAAGATGAATGAATATATTCTTATCCATGTTGGGGCACAAAAACAATGTCAGGTGCTCAAGTGAGTTGTTAAAAATACAAACGCCCGCAATAAATATGTTGCTATTGGCCTGCCCATTGGTGGTAAAACATGCATTGCATGCTTCGGAGGGACAAAATACTGACTGTTGAACATTGAGGGCTATAGGTCATAATGTGTCTGGACATAAAAACAACACAACATGTTTCATGTTTCATAAAAAAAATATCTTACATGATGTAAGGAGCAACTCATAATACATTCCATGCCATATAAAGGCAATTAATGAGCTACACCTTCATCCATCTGCTTTGGCTTACAGTGATTAACACATTTATTAGACTACATGTCATGAAACAAAAAATAAATATTTTAGAAATCTTTCAAAAACTTGTTTAAAACTAAAAATGTTATTTTTATTTATCTGGCGAATAACAAACTGAAACAACTGAATAGTCCCTTTTCACACATAATAACTTAATAACTTCATATCTTGTATGGTCTCCTTTGGCCTTGATAACAGCTTGCAGTCTTGCTGGCATTGTTTTCATGTGCTTTTTGACTGTTTCTTTTGTTACTGACTTCCAAATAATTTCTAGTTGTTTCCACAGACTTGCTGTGATTAAACTTTTGTGCGATCGATCTTTGAACATACTATATCCCAAATTTGCTCAATAGGATTCAAATCTGGACTTTGACTTGGTCAGTCCATCAGTTCCAGAACTCTAGATTCTTTTTTCTTTGTTAAATAGTCTCTACACAGCTTTGAAGTATGCTTGGAGTCATTGCTTTGTTAGTACAGTCATGACTTGATAATCCGATAGTAAGGCTGTCCAATTGTCAAGACGGAGGTGGAGACACAAGGAGGGCTTGATGCTTGAACGGCCATTTCCACCCAAGGGAAGCGCTCCAACGGGGTGGAAGTGGCCATTTCAAAGCCCAGATCAAAATCCAATCAAGAATTTGTGGCTGGACTTGAAAAGAGCTGTTCACACCCAATCCTCAAGCAACTTTACAGAGCTTGAGCTGCTTTGCAAGAAAGAATGGACAAGAATTACATTGTCCAGATGTGTCAGCCTGATTGAGAACTATCCACACAGACTCAGTGCTGTGATTGCAGCCATAGTTGCATCTACTAAATACTGACCTGAAGGGGTTAAATATTTATGCAATCATTTACTTTACCTTATATGTACGGAAGCCGAGAGCGGCATTTTCTCAAGATAACGAGATAATTATCCTGTTGACGGTTTCGGCTGTCACTTCAGCCTTCATCAGAAGTTGTCGGACTTCCTGGTGTGACGTATCTTATATAGACAGCTGACCAGGAACTCCGACATGACGTGTCATGAGAACAGCTGACCGGGCACGACA